TTAAGTATCAATGGATAGAATATCTCTGGAAAGTTTCCAATAGAATTGTTTCCTGACATCATTATTAATTGATGAAAAATGATAAAAATTGAAGATCACACAGATGCCCCAGTTTAAGGAAAATCTAGGCATTGTCAGATGCATGAAATCAGGAGCCAGGATAAAATTCAAGGTACTGTGATACAACCATGCAACCTATATACAATAATCTGATTAGCTAACAAATTGCACCAGATAAGAGTTAATGGACTTTAAGAGGGAGGGGGTGTAGGATTTAGGTGAGTCTTTTCTGGGGGTGTAGGCCAGATTGATGATGCGTTTGATTCTGCCCTCCACTCAGCCTGGTTATCTCCTACATGAATCCCTCTCATCTCTTTTAAGATTAGATTTGGCAATTCCTTTCTAGAAAACTTCTGAAGTCTAAATCTAAATGATTTTCAATTAAGTCTTTCATTTTAAATGGCTTTGGATGATCAAGCATAAGAGAAGACTGGACCACAACATATGAGCATGTGCATTCTTGGCCCACTTTTCTGTTGATGTTGGGTTTCAACATACCAATGGCCCATTGGTATAGAAACAAGTTTGAGGAAATCAAAATAGTGTACAGATTATGAATTCTTGCAGTAATTTTAATTGATAAATTATCTATACTCTTAGGGAACATCTACCTGAAGTTTTCACCCCACTCCAGAATTTACTCTGTATATGTGATCTCATGCTATGTTTTCTTATTTTGAGAGATAAGAGTTCAAGATGGAGTAGCAATTAAATGATTATTTGCTCTTTGTTCCCAGAGTTTTGAGCCTGTAGAATTGATGATAATCAAAGCTTTACTTTTAGAAAAAACTTCTGGAATTACATAGAAGTGTCATCTTAAGCAGGAAAAGAGCAGAATGTTTAATTACCCTCAATATTAAAATGATAAATACTTTAGAAAGTGCACAGAGACTACAAAGAACACATCTTTGCAATTTAATTTTCAACATGCTTTAGAATACATAGTCTTCAACTTACGATCACAATTGAGCCCAAAATGTATGTTGCTAAGTCAGAAATTTGTTAAATGAGTTTAGCTCCATTTTACAACTTTTCTTGCCAGATTTGTTAAGTCAATTACTGCAGTTGTTAAATTAGTAACATGGTTGTTAAGTGAATCCGGTTTCTACACTGATTTTGGTTGTCAGAAGGTCACAAAAGCGGATCACATAACTCTGAGACACTGCAGCCATCATAAATGTGAGTCAGTTGTCAAGAATTTGAATGTAAATCATGTGTCTATGCTGCAACAGTCATAAGTGTGCAAAATGGTCATAAGCTTTTTTTTTTTCAGTGTCGTAATTTTGAACCATCACTAAATGAACTGTTGTAAGTCGAGGACTACCTGTATTTCATAGAATGCTTCAGGGACTGATAGAACGGTTTGAGAAAACTCTGGATAGAAAGTCCAATCAGAACTGTGGAAAGCATCTAGAAGAACTACATTGCAATGGAAAGACAGGTGAGTGAAGCATCGTATTTGAATCATTTTAGGAGCCGTGGTGGCACAGTGGTTAAAATGCAGTATTGCAGGCTATTTCTACTAACTGCCGGCTGCCTGCAATTTGGCAGATCAAATCTCACAAGGCTCAAGGTTGATTCAGCCTTCCATCCTTCTGAGGTGAGTAAAATGAGGACCCAGATTGTTGGGGGCAATATGCTGACTCTGTAAACTGCTTAGAGAGGGTTGTAAAGCACTGTATATGTCTAGCAATAGCACTTAGACTTATATAGCCCTTCACAGTGCTTTACAGGCCTCTCCAAGTTCTATTGATAGTGTTATTAAAGCAACTGTTGTCTTATGCAGGCTTATGTAGCTGTTTCAGAAACTGCTTCTACTTGCCTCTTGCAGGGTTTGACTCTTGTTGCTTTAACAGTGTGAAAAAAGGTGCTTCATTTGCACTCTTACAGGTGATAAAGCACTTCTTCTGAATTTTTGTGTGTTCATAATAAATATGTTTATTTGTCATGGTTGCTCATATCTATAAAGGGAATATTGAGATCAGAGGTACATAATTTGGAGAAGCATCAGGGTGACATTAACCTCCCCCATTTCAAAAAAGGCTGACTATTATCTCCAGAGACTTCCAAAATATATTACAGCCGATCCTCAACTTACAACAGTTCATTTAGTGACCATTCAAAGTTGCAACAACCCTGAAAAAAGTGACATGACAGTTTTTCACACTTACAACTGTTTTAGCATCCGCATAGCCACATGATAAATGTTCAGATGCTTGGCAACTGACTCATATTTATGACAGTTTGTAGTGTCCCGGGGTCATATAATCATATGGTGCCTTTTGTGACCACCTGACAAGCAAAGTAAATGGGGAAGCACAATCACTTAACAACTATTATTAAATTAACAACTTGTGACTATGGCAAGAAAGGTCATAAAATAGGTGGCAAACCTATGGCACACTTGCTGGAAACCATCCCACAAGGAACACACGCCTTTGCTGGCTCCTCTTTCGCTTTTCAATGCAGACATGCGTACCAGCCAGCTGGCCTTCGCGTGTGGGAGTACCAAAATCTGGAAGAGCAGTGTTCCAGCACGCTTGCAGGTACTGGCACCCAAACTTCCAGGTTTTCATTGCGTGCATGTGCAACTGCCAGATGTTTGTTGGGCTTGTGCCAGAAACCGGAAATTTGGGTGTCGCTGTGTGCCTGCATGATGGAATGCTGCTCTTCCAGCTTTTGGCGCTTCTGCGTGCACGAAGGCCAGCGAGGCTGCATGTTCCTCAAGGGATGGTTTTGCGTGCCATTTCTGGCATGCAGATTGGCACGCGGGTACGAAAAAGGTTTGCCTTCACTGAAATAGGGCAAAACTCACTTAACAAATGCCTCACTTAGCAACATAAATTTTGAGCTCAACTGTGGTCATAAATCAAGGACTACCTAGACTAAATTGTAACAGTGAAAATAGTTCAGTATATCACAAAAGAATTGATATTATCTATGCTGAATTTTAGGTAAATATAAAATGAATCAAACCCTGGTTTTAATCAATACTTCTTGGAGTGTCTCTCCCTAAAACAATCAGAGTAAATTGTACATCGTTGGTTTAGAAGATTCTATTACAGAAGTCAAGCTGCGAGCAGAAAATGTTTCCAGGCATAAAGACCAGCTAGAAAATACCAAGGCTTATCAAGCGAACTTACTGAAGCTTGAAATTTCAATTTAATTTTAGTAGATTTATAATGTACGGTATATTTTTCAAACCTACACAATCTACAAGGTGGCAGCCAAACTTTGCTAATAGGTAACTCAATTCTTTTAGCCTAGTAAGGCTACTAATTAATTGGTGTTAATTACAGCATGCATTTCTGTCTTAACAGAAGTGTGTTAATGGAACACACTTAACAACTACCTATTGTCCAGGATAATATAGGCTCTGTCACAAGATTGAAATCCCATAGGCCAGCAAGGAAAATCACTATTCAACATCTATCCACTTTAACCCCAAAAATGCCTTGAGAGAGGAAGGGTCCATGGTACCTTCTTGTGGCTTGATCATTAGTGACCCCTCTACCAAACGACCCGGTTTTAATCTGCCTCGCTCTGTCTAAGTAAACGTTATGTGACCCTCATTTATCAACAGCCCCTTTTATAATAGGATGGTGATGTAGTGTAGGTTATTGCCAATTTCCTATGTATCACTGATACATGAGCAAGAACCTGGTAAAGGACACCTTGACATGCCTTCACCTGCCTATGTAGCATCATTGAGGGTCTAAGAGGGCTCAGAGATTGTCTTGCATTGATCTATTACTTTGACTGACGTTTGTCTAAGAAACTATAAATCTGAAGTGACTTCCTTCTACCTTTCTTCTTAGCTCACACGTATAGAGTACATACACTTTGACTCAGCTTTCTGCCAGGTTTTGCCAATTCTATAGTATATTACCTGTAACTAAACCTTACTTTTAATGTACTTATAAAACCTTTTCCATCAGTGATTGTTCTGGTCAGATTCCCATTCTCTGGGACACTCACAAGTACACACAGATCATAACATCTCCCAATACCCTCTGCATTTTATTTGGGCTCAATGTCCACCTCCTTTGTTCCATCCAAACACAAATCATGCACTCCTGTACCAACACTGTAAGCATACTTGCCAAAACAAAAAAGCATGAAAAAGCAGTGTCAGTCATTGACAAGCTAATGAGTATGAAAGTACATTCAGAAAGCGTTCTATTTGTTCTCCGTGCTTCTGCACTCATTTCTACTGGATGATTTCATGGAAGCAGGCTGCCATAAACAGCATATAATTGTATGTATCAAAACGGTGGTGGTGCCTTGATTGTCCCTGCTTCCAGGCATACAAGTGGCATTGCAAAGTCAGCTGGAAGGCTCATGGGAGTGCTGGGCTGAGTAGGAATATTTGCTAGTTTAATTGTTGGTGTTTTATTGTAGTTCTGAAAAAGGGAAAAATCAAAGTTTATTAATTTAATTTCTTTTGGTTTAATTTGGGTGTGTGTATATATATACAATGTAGCCTTTAGCATGGAGTCTAGGGACTCCCTGAATCCCTTATGGCAAGGCCCTACAGACCATATGGTTCTACTTCCCAATTCTACACAGCTATAAAACGGGATGAGGCAATCCCATATTTCTTTTGCTATCGCTCCTACATTCAAATTTGATGATAGTGATCCAGTTTCCTGTCATTTTCAGTTGAAAAATATTTAAAAGCTATACATTTTAAAATAGGTTTAATGTAGAAGAAAAAAATCCAAAGTCCTATCAAAAAGCTCATCCTCTTGAAAGAAAATATTATTTTACATCATTATCTCACCAGCTATCCAAAATAGTTCAATGTAATCTACAACCATCCAAATGTTAATAGGGTGTTTTTGTTTTTTTATAAAATGAAGAACTACTGCAGCATTTTGTCGTAACTCTCATCACTCATTTTGCTTTGTAAATTTGAACAATCATTTGCTTTTCCGCAGTTTTAATTTTTCAAGTATATAATTCTTTTTTATTTATTCAACATGTCTTTTTAAAAATGTAAAATACAATCAACTTTGTCTCTCTCCAACTTCCAACTTCTGGGAATAGATTCCCATCTTGGAAAATAAGCCCTATATGTAGGATTTTAATAAAGCAAACTGAAATGCTAATAAGCAAATAAATACATACGTAAGGAAAGTTAAGGGGGGAAAAAATCAAATCCGTCGATAACAATCTGCCTCTGGACTTTCTTCCTTCATGAGGCAGCCTGGCTGATACATGAGATCCACAATATATACTTGAGGGGGAAGCAGAAGTCCAGGTATTCCCAAAGGAGAATCATCAACCAATTTCACCTCATTCCACGCTCTATTATATTCACCCCGGTATAGGCTGCAATTAATAGCAATTCTGTCTGCCAGAACCTATGAAAAGAATAAAAATATACTTTAGTTTTGTTATTTTGTGATTGCTCTTCTGGTAGACTTACAGAAGTAGGGTGGAAAAATCTGAAGGACCATTGCAACCCTAAATTTCTCATTATAGCCAAAGAGATACATCATTGGTAATAATGCTTTATAATTTGATATGCTAATGGTTAAAAGAGAAAAAGGAGAAGTTGTCAATTGAATACTATTTAATGAAGAATTATTGGGGTCAGTAAGGAGCCAAACAGCAGTTGGTTTCAGTCAATCTACATAGAGGACACATTCTCATTTTTCTTTCTGAGAATTCACTGGAAGAATGACTGCAGATGGAAAGATTATTGAGTTTATTATCCCTGCCAAACACAATGGATTTGTTTTTGACATGTTATTTTTCAAATTATATTCCTCACTATATCATTCTTAGTCAACAACTTGGAATTAACTGCATACAAATTACATATATATTTAAATCTTCAAACATCTCTAATAATGGTATTTCTTAATACATTTATCCATAAATACAAGGATTAACTTAAAAGCAATGTCTCTAATGTTACAACTTGCTAGAGAGATAATAGTACTGATGCACAAGAAATCCTGACAGCTGTTCTTTTACTTCAGCAGGAAATTGCTGTAAGAAAACTTTGTTTTGCTATTGCCTACTATTTTCCAGAATTCTGATAGCATTTATTACTTCCTTCTCATTAAATATGTATAGCATTTATTCAGTGCCATTTTTTGACATTTAGATAACTTCATCAATCTACTATCAAACCTTACTATATAGATTTGGTCAGTATTGTTATTTACATATTACAGATAACAAAATGAGATTAAGAAAATATGTCTAGTCTTCCCATAATTTTTTTCTGCTCTAAAATGTGCTCCTGATTTGAGTCATAGTTTATGCCTTTTCATACATAGGACTTTTTCTGCTTATTTTCAGTGTCGCATTGACTTTAATGGAGATTATAAACAGTGTACAGTAGAAAAATGCATATTTATTGATTGGAAATCAATACCAAGTATGAGCAAAAATATTGTGCACATGGAAAAAATTGAATGCTATAATTTGAATACTAGAATACTTAAATTGAATCTGATGGGACAGTAGCATATACATATTCATTAAAACTAAAAGTATGCAATTTAGAGCAGCACATTTGTTTAGTTACACTAGTGGTATCAAACTTAAGGCCTGCAAGCTGGATCCAGCCCATAGGGTGCTTAGATCTGGCCCATGAGGCCACCCTGGAAACAGTGAAGGATCAGCCCATGGTACCTCCGCCAGTGAAAATGGAGTTCAGGGAGCTCCATTTTTGCTGGCATAGGGTTGCAGGAGGCAGTCACGGCCAAAAATGGAGCCCAGGAGGACCATGCACTACCTCCCCAAGCTTTGTTTTTGCTGACAGAGGGCTGCAGGAGCTGTTGTGGTTGAAAAGGAACCTGGACAAGTGATGCTGAGCTGGCCATGCCCACCCACCCCAGCTCCCCAAAATCAAACACAACAATGATGTGTCTCTCAATTAAATTGTGTTTGACACCTCTGAGCTACACAGTTTTACCTTGAAAAGCAAAGCTCTGTGGTAGAAGGTCCCTTTTTCAATCTTCCCAATAGGTACCACGTTGCATTTAAGCTCATATTCAATTTCACTTATATGAAGCTCCCAGCTGAATTCATGTAGATTATTTCTTTCAATGGGACCACCCAACCTATCTGCAACAAACCTGTTTTCAAATCAAACAAGGTAAATTAAATCCATTTTCTTGTCATACTACTTAATTGGGGTAAGAAATAATTCTGCTTCTTGACAATTATTTGCATAGAGTTCATGGTGGATCCTTTCATGGCTCATAATTTATTTGTGTGCCACTGGGAGAAATTATTTGATGGCAGTATATTTTAGGATAACATAAATATTGATCTCATCTAGCAATACAATTTGATGTTCTAAAGGATGGGTATCCAACCTTTTGGCTTGCCTAGACTGTACTGAGTGAAAAGGATTGTTTTGGGCCACATACAAAATACTTAGTTCCTATGAATGCCTTTAGCCCAATGAGCATTGCCTATTTAGTGCAATCTTCAACATACTAAATCTGGAATGGACCTTGAATTGATGGAGATTTCATACTTTGGGCCTAATATTCTGGTGGAAGTTTGCCAAAGGAAGAAACATAACACTGAGGAGAAGTGGCCAAACTTCATTCAATGATCCTTGGATGCCTGTTTTGCAAGAAAGATGAGCTGTGAACAATAGAAAGATAAAGATTTTGATACTCTTTGGGGTTGAGAGGCAGGAAATCTAAGTAAGTTAATTCATGGACAATTTTGAGCGAATGAGACAAGTATTTAAACAAAGGGAAATGTATTTTTCAATTGCAAAGCTGGTAAGAATTCCATTATTGAGAGGATGGAATGTTGACATCAAGTGTGCACACTTGATTAGGATGGAATATCTGTGATTTCTCACCTCTTGCTTCCTAGATAAACTTTTTAGGTGATAGAATTAAAGGCTATCGTGGCAGAACAAATTTAGTCATGTTTGGATTATGCATTAGTCTGGGGCTGGTCTAATTTATGTATGCAATTGGGAGAAGACAGAGCAGAGAGAAGTAGGGAAAAAGTTTGCATCAGGAGTGGTAGAGGAAAGAGGAAGACAGAAAGAAGAGACAAAGAAAAGATGGGATGAAACTTTGGAGAAAAGTTTGCAGCTTTATTATTTTAATTCTTCAGTCATGGTTCGATACAAACCTCTTTTTCCCTGAAACTCTTTAAACCAGGGGTGTCAAACTGGGTGCTTAAATCTGGCACATGGGAAATAGCAAAGAATCGGCCCATGGTGCCTCTGGCAGCCAAAACGGGGCATGAGGGGCCACATGCGGCTCCCCTATACCCTGTTTTAGCAGTCAGAAGGAACCACTTTTTGGCCAGCAGGAAGTGTCCATCCCCCTCCCTCCTGGCTGACCCATGGAGAACTACAATGCTGATCCAGCCCTTGAAGAAATCCAATTTGACACTCCTGCGTTAAACAGTTATTTGCTTTACTCTTTTTATATATGAGTAAGTCACTTTGAAAATCAATTTAAATAATGTTCTATCTCAACATGACCTCTATAACTCCTACAAACTTACCCTAAATTATTTCCTGACAGATTAACAGTCATATCATAGAATACAATGAAAATCACAGCCAATAGACAGTCTAAATAAATGGTTTGAAAGATTCCCTTTGTATGGCTCACACATGCATTTGACATACTCACTGTGCAAGAGCTACCACTTGCTCTTTGCTGGTTGGTAGTGGCAGAATCGTTCTGGAAATCTCAGTAATATAATCAAACAAGATGGGGTCAAAAGGGGGGATCCATAAAGCTTTTCCTGGGGTTTCAACTACTTTAGGTATGGATGCTTCCAATTCCTCATCTTTTGGTTTTTCTTCTTCTTTTTTCCCTTTCCCCTTCCTTTTGTAAAAAGGTAACACTGATTATTAGAAATATCTTTGTTTCCAAAGCTTTTATTTTAATCAGCATAGAAGGTTCAGAGGCTCATTCAGAAAAAAAAAAAACACCATGAGATTCTTCTCCAAGGTAGATAGCACAAGTATTTCTGTCATATTAAAATTTTCCAGCACTTTTCAACAGTCTTTCTTCTAACTTCATGTTCAAATGTGGTTCCAAAGAGTTCCAGATTTTTTAGCTAATAGCCATAAAATATTTATATTTCCTACCATTAACAGTGCAGGTGTCACTAACATGGGACAAGTCTTTTTCAGTTAACTCCCAGATTATGATCCAGGAGTTTCTTATTTGGCAAGCTTTCAATGCATATATTAGAATATGCTTATTCTGTGAGAAAATTCAAGTTGCAAAAATGCCACAGATAACTTATATAAAAAAAATCATCTCCACTCATAATGGTTTGTTTGGTTCTGGCAATCCTTAAGTGGTTACCTCTATAAAGTTTTTATGGTAATGGTGTAATTGGGACCTGCATAAATCCAGTCATTTAAAGACAATAAAGATCTAGTGAATAGAAGGAACCTTTTCTTTAAAAATCTGAAAAGAGGAAAAGCAAGCAAACACGCACACAAAAAAGCAGCAAACAAAAATATAAATGCAACAATGACAAAATCAATAAAGCTTATTCAATAAATCAAAGGAAAGCAAGTTGCTCTAAAATCATGATCAATTTATATCTATGCCCATTCTGGATATGGAATATAGCTCTGAAGAAGGCTGGAAAGAGCTTCTTACCATATATTATACCTAAGGCCCAAAATCATAATTTGCAAATTTATTCTGAAATTATGACTAATGGCAACTCAGAAATGGTTTTTTTCAGCAATAACCTTATAGCCACAAAACATTCTTCAAAAAAAGTCTTCCTAATTCTTATTCTTTGATTTTCTTACTAACAAATATGATTTTTGAACATTAATTTGACCTTTTAATTTTGCTGATAAACTATTCTGTGTTTTTAAACAGCATTATCTCTGTAACATTTTAATCATTTCTGCACTGAACTTTCAAATACAAGTTATTTTATTATGTTTTATTTGTACTTTTCTTAGTGTCATCTTGAGAACTTTTACCTGCACGGCTACTAATAAATTGCTGGAAATACAAGACCACCAATCTACTATACACTAAATGAAGTAGATTGGTATTGTAAAAATATGTTACAGTTACCCACTTAAAACAGTTTGAAACAATTAATAGCTGCATATATTTCTGTGTGGTTTGGAATTGCTAGGTTTAACTGAATTGAATAATCAGAGATTGCCATGCACAAGTTGCCATGGTGTTGGTTTTATTTAGGTGCCTTGCAGTAATTTTAAAATGTTAAACTTTTAAGTACTTAACAAAGGGTCTGAATTCTCAGCACTATTTTTAAACAATTTGAGATCTGAAAAAAAAAAGAGTAATGTAAGAAAAATGTATGATCTGAAGAAAAATCAAAGTATAAGAGTAATATAAGGAAGATAGATCCAGATGAATGCTATTTTTCCATGCTAGATGGTTTTGGTCACATATAATTTAGTAAAATTGGATACTGAAAAAAAGAGCTCTGAGAATATTCAGAAGTGGAACATTTCAATTACATCCTGTGACATGATGAATGTACAAGGAAATCTAAGAAAAAAGTATTGGCTGAAGCTCAGTCGGACTAACATGGATGGGTTGCTTGCTATAATTAATACTGTTTTCTAAGTTCATCTATCTATTTAAATAGGAAACGGCTTCATATTGATATGAGCAAGAAAAGGCAGAGTTGTGACGTTGTACAAAAGATAATTGCCAGGCTACAAAGAGATTGTTTGAATTATATGTTATATCTGGTAGTGGAAAGCAATACTATGCTAATCAACTTTCCAGACCTTACAATTACCTTAATGCATTATCCATATCTTTGCAAGGTTGCTACCATGGACCCAAAATTGTTAATTATTACATGCAGCCCATGTAATTGAAATAATATTCTATTGTGTCCATATTTAGTTCTGCTCCTTTTTCTCTCCTTTTTTTGCTTCCTTGAATTTGTTTTTAGAATGTAGGCCCTTGAGCCAAACTTTTTACCCTCAAGCTTGAAACAAGAATACCAGTACCTTGATCCTTTCTCTCTAGAGGATCCTTTACTGATTGAAGAAGACCGTCCTGGAGATTCTGGTTTTTCATCCAATGAACTATCAAAATTACAAAATAATTGCCAATATCTCTTTATTTCTGTAAGGCATAGGAATTCTTAATGAACTGAGAGGAGAAAGGAAGCAAAACCAATAGGCAAAATAATTTTCTGTGGAAGAATCCTTTCATTGCACGCCAATGGAATAGAGTACTAAAAACTTATATTCCATATTAATGTAATTCTTTTGCTTGCTTCCATGTTTTATAACTACTTGACTAACCAATTAATTTTAAAATTATTTAAGCCAGCCCAGACGTATTTACAATCCGTAGGCACATCAAAAATAGCTGCTTTTAAGGCACATTTCCTTTTTTTTTTTTTTAAATCAAGTAGCACCATTATTATGGAAGCCAATGGAGAATTCAACAGATGAAGTTGAGCCATTTTGAATGAATCCAGCAATTGTGTTTCAAACAGATGATTATGGTTTAATGTTTTAGTTGAAAGCAACAAACTGTGATTTATTAGATATAAACCATGGTTTCATGCAATATGTGCGTTCCCAGTGTTTTCTAGACTGAAATTAAAAAAATTGCATTTTCAAACATGGCTGATGGGAGAAACATACATCACACCCAAAGGATGCATGGTGCACTATCCTTGAGAGAGGTGGGTATAGCCCCACAACAGAACACAAATTCTTCTCCCATTTTTGTGAGTAGGACGAGGAGGACTTTGATCTTTCCTAATCATCTTATCCAGACAATTGTGTCATGAACTGCTGTGTATGAGATACAGAAGGATGCTTTCAGAGAAAAAGTGCAGGGGCAGAAAGGCTATTCTATTTTATTTGGAGTATACAGTAATAAATAGATACTACATGCTATTCTGTCCACTTTGTGTCCACAACAGCCTAGTTTCTTTTTTATTTTTTAGCAAAAGCAGTAGCAAATAATATATATATATCCTTAGTTATACCAATTGTATCAAAATAAGTTAGTTGGCTTTTGATTAAAATAACACATTAAAATAAGTGTGAAGTTGTTTTTTTTGCATCGTCTATGGTAAATATCCATAAAGACCCACTGAATCTGATAAGGTACTTTCTCCGGGGGGTGGGATGGAGGGGGGGGTTGGAATCTGCATAGGACTGTGACTATAGCAATCTAGTTTGGATCGAATCCATTTAATCTTTTGGACAATTATTAAAAAGCCGTGTACTATACTATGCAATAACAAGCTAGCCTTACAGAGGCAAAAAAAACAACCAAACCAGCCATTCACTAGAGATGCAGCAATAAAATATAGGACTATATAAATTATTGGTTGTCTGGGTATATAAATAGATATACAAATATATAATTTAACAATGGTATATACATTTCATTCCATGTCTGAATTAAGAAATATATGTGACTATTGATAATGTTACATATATCCTTTTATCATATTTATATTATTATTTATAAATCATGTTTTGTAAGTGTCTTAAATGATTACAATACAAAAGACACAAGGGCTATCTTGATAGTACTTGAAATCAGAGTAGGGGGAGCTGCAGATATCAGGAATCCATTGGTGTTAATGCTGTGCAATATTGGCCCTAGTTACTAAATAAAAATATATAAAACATGATGTGCATTGGTAGTTCCCATGTATGCTTTGATTAGCAGCAAGGTTTCCTCTGCTTAGTGCCATTTATGAATTAATGCATTTTCTAGCTTCTATACTCTGGATATTTTTTGAGTCTGGAAAATTTACTAGTGCTATTAATGTTTTCTGTTATTTTCTGGATACAGAATATAATATAGTATAGATAGTCCTCGGCTTACAACCATTCCTTTAGTGACCATTCAAAGTTACAATAGCACTGAAAAAAGGCACATAAGACCATTTTTCAAACTTATTATAAGATTGAATCATCCCCATGGTCACATGACCAAAATTTGGATAGTTGGCAACCAGCATGTATTTATGACAGTTGCAGTGTTCTGGCATCATCTGATCACCTTTTGCAATCTTTTGACAAACAAAATCAATGAGGAAACCAGATTCACTTTAAAGAAGTGTTATTAATTGAACAAGTGCAATGATTCATTTAACAACTATGGCATAAAGGTTGTAAAATGGGACAAAACTCACTTAGCTATCTTGCTTAGCAATGGAAATTTGGGGTTCAATTGTGGTTGTAAATCAAGGACTACCTAGATGTAGCTTTTACTATAAATCATTATCTTGCCAGATAAAATCAGAACAAATAGAAAATATTCCATTAACTCTTGTTTATCAATTACTTAAAGCCTCAAAAGGAGTTTCATGCAGGAACTTAGTATCATAATGGAATTTGTCTTAATCAGCATGGCAAAATAGCTTGTTTCTGATGCCTCAATGATGGATAGGTATGAATGAGACTACATAAAATTAAATTGGTGACTAAATGGTGCCATGAGATTTTTAAATTTGAGAAGAATCTATTTCACAGAAACTTGAATAGCTTTCTTATTTTAGATCATCATTCTTATTTAAACTTATTTCAAATTTCAAACTGATAAAGGAAATGGTTTGATTTTTTAAAAAAAGAAATTAATTTTTACATTTTTAAACCTACAATTCATGAAAGAAAAAAGAGCAATTACAAAAATTTAAATACTTACTTATTTCTGCTAGTTTTCCTGACACTAGTGGCAGACGCCCCAATTCGAGAGGCTGGGTTCTCTTGTGGCTTTTCCTCGATAGATATGGAAATTGCTTGATGTTCACTGAAACAGAAAGGATGTTATCATATCAGACATGTATTCTGCATATTGCTCAGAATAAAACATCTGAACATTTAATTCTTTTCAGTGCTGCTGAGTTTAGCCTAAGAAAATTCAAACAGGTTGTTTCTATAGGTATTAAATATAGCATCTTAGTTATGGAAGTTGTGACTAAGCAATAAGAAACAATGAGATTTTAGAGTGGAAAATGTAGATGACATTAAAAAATAATTTATTTCATTTTATATACATAGACACAATTTCTCCATATGTATGTATATTTATGTGGTGTGGGCTCAGTTTCCTCCATTCACTTCTACTTTGTGTGTACTTAAATCCTATTTTTGTATCGGCATTACCTTCTGTTGATATGGATGCTTCAACCTAATTTAAGAAATTTGAGAAAATAAACATTTCTTAAGGCAGTCACACAAATGATTCTCCTTACAAACTGGTGTTGACTGAAACTAATAAGCTATGTAGAAAGCTGGAAAATATGAATACTGAGGATTTAATGCACTCCAGTTTGTGCATCCTTTCTCCTACCACAAGATGATTGTTTTAAATAGCACTTAGACTTATATACCACTTCACAGTGCTTTTTCAGCTGTCTGTAAGCGATTTACAGAGTCCACACAATCTGGCTCCTCATTTTACCGACCTTGTAAGGATGGAAAGCTGAGTCAACCTTGAGCTGGTGAGACTTGAACAGCCGAACTGCGGGCAGCCAGCAGTCAGCAGAATTAGCCCACAAACTATTGCAGCACCATGGTTAGATTAATATTAATGCATATTTTCAAAAGCTGAATCTCAAAACTTTATGTTTATGAAAAGAAATATTAAAAACTTGGTGTTAATGGAATTCTGCTCTTTAATTTCCTATTGGAATAGTTTTGAGCAGGGTTTAACTGATCAGCTATAACAGGGGTGTCAAACTCGTGGCCTGCGGGTGAGATGTGTTACATGCTGGCCAGCCCCCCCCCCCATTTTACTGAAGGGGGGAAGTTGCAATATATTAGGTGATGACAACTTGTTGTGGGCTTGACACCCCTGAGCTACAAAGTTTTTTGTGTAAACTATCATTAGTTCTCCACCCACCACCTGAAACTTACTATAAACATTACCTTTAGAATAAGGATACAGACATTTATACAGACATTTAAATCTCTTAATGGAAAGAGAAGGTTATTTGAAGCAAGACATTCCAGGATATTTCATGAACAATGAAAAAAACCTTTGCCTGAAACCTTGAAGAATCGGATTGGCTGGCTGCAGATGAAGTCAATTATTAAAATCTCTATAATAATCTTATTAGTAGACTCACAGTTCTGATAATTTAGCATTTATTAAAATTATAGCACGATGATCATTAAGCTCCTGACCACAGAGTTCCTCCAGTGACAATAGTTTTTCACCAGGTTTCACCTATAAGAAAATTTCAATAAAGTATGTGATATAAATTGTCAGCCATCTCTAAAAAGTTTACAAACGTTATTGAGAACTCTTGCTAATGCTATATTAGTAGTATTAATATTAATTTAGGGTTAAGCACATAGGAATAATGTTCATGAATAAAATGCCTGAAACAAAATTCAGCTTCATTTTAGCATATGAAGATTTACAGTTACATACAAACTAAGGTTTTTTTATTTAAAGTAAACTCTAATTTATTAAAGTAACAAGCAAACAAATAAAACAAGTTTATTACTGGTTTATTTGGCATCTGACAAGATGTTTTAAATCACAATGTTTTACATAACAAATATCTATTGAAGCGAGTTTTTAAGTTTCTTTTAAATGACAAATTTTATTATTGTACATCATAACAAACAGCTATTACAGTATTAAACAGTTTTTGAACTTTTGAACTTGAACTATTTGTGTGAATAGCATTAAACTATTAAAAACCCTGTTAAAATAATTATTTTTATTGTTGTTCCTGTTTTGAATGATCTTTTGTATTTTTAGATGTTACAAAATTAGTATTTTTATAAACATCAGCAATAAAGTATACACTGATGATTATATGGATTCAAATTCATGTTCATCTTTCTGCAAAAAAATAAAAATGCCATATTATATGATCAAATAGTGGAATAAGCAACAATAATAAAATTATTTATGAAGTTTTTTATTATTTAAAAATAAGTAACATATACATATTTTTAAAAAATCCAACTGAGAAAAGTGTAACAAAGTATTAAAAAGCGTCTTTGTACCTATACCTATAGGGACGCGGTGGCTCAGTGGCTAAGACACTGAGCTTGTCAATCAGAAAAGTCGGCAGTTCGAATCCCTAGTGCCACGTAACTGAGTGAGCTCCTGTTACTTGTCCCAGCCAACCTAGCAGTTTGAAAGCACATTGAAAATGCAAGTAGAAAAATAGGAACCACTTTTGGTGAGAAGGTAACAGTGTTCCTTTGGCATTTAGTCATGCCAGCCACAGACCACAGAGACATCTTCGGACACCACTGGCTCTTTGGCTGTGCAACAGAGATGAGCACCGCTCCCTAGAGTCAGGAACAACTAGCACATATGTGTGAGGAGAACCTTTACCTTTTACTTATAGTAAGACAACAGCAGATAAACCTCAGTCCTATTTATACTTGCGATAATAAATGACAATTTAGCATTTATCCTCATATGACCCAGATGGTGGGAAGTAAAGTGCGATGCACTTTTATAAATGTGAAGTCTTTTGCTATGATCTCCTATGTACTGGTGATGTTAACTAATGATCTTTGTTTGATAATCAGTAGTTCTGTAAAGACTCTTAATGTATACTTAAAGCAAGTTTACCTGTCCATAGTCATAGAATCCATCCAAAATTATGTTAGTTGATGCTAAAAAACCCATTTGACTGTATTTTTGTGGAAGATTGTGATCAAGTATTTTTTCCAATGCTGCTTCACTGAAGTTATTTTTGCGACCAATAGAGAGGTTAATTTCATCAAGAATATCTAAAGCACTTTAGCAAAGAAACAAAGCAAAAGAAGAGAATTACCAAAAATATTGTTCCAATTCATTACAATATTTCTCCTATTATACTGTAATCTTTTATAAACACAGTACTGAAATGCATCTGATTTCAGATCTGTATCGACCAGCCTTTTCTAGTTCTCTGAAGACCATGCCCACAAAATAAAACAGACAGGACAAGAGATTTACATGATAGTAAAAGTAGTCAAAAGTCAAAAGGTAGCAAAATCACAAAACCAGCAACCTTGTGTAAAATATCAAAATTTAATTCATATCCCAAAAGTTCTCATTAGACTTGCAGGAAATCTCAGGATATTTGGAAATATTTTATTGGGGATACCGACTGGAAGTAAAGCAAACTCCCTGGTTCTGTCAGTGCTGTTTATGATATACATGTAAGCCTAATACATGACTAATCCCTTTTTACCATTATCTACAGTAATTCTCTCCAACAATATTTACTCGCATTTAAGCAATTTAACCTTTATCTCCATCTTACATCCCTTAAACTGATGCTATCCTGATGTGTTAGTCCATAATTCTTATCACTTTCCTGAACATAGGCAAGCACAATCATGCGCCAAGAAGATTCATTATTTATTATAATTATAAGATATCTACAAAAGAGTGTGTATTAGTGTGTTCCAATTATCCTATAATAAAAAGATGAAATACAAAATTTAAAATACAAAAATTTAAAGGCCAACGTAACTGGAGTAAAGATGCAAAAAGGCAGCATAAAAATATAGTTATTACAAATAATAACAAATTAATACTTTTTTAAAACAAAAAATATAGTTTATATTATGAAAAAAACACCCTCAGGCACAAAAATATCATCAGGATTCTTTCAGAAAAGAGACTGGGGCAAAAATGAAGGGGTGACTATTGTGGGATGGGCGATGAAATGGAATATCTGAGGCCACGTGTTGTGCCTGGTTATTCCCTAAACATGGATACACTATAATAGAACATGAAGACATGAGGGATATAAGTCAGCATAAAAACAAAGATCTGATCCCACCACCATTAACACTACTACTTTGGCATCTCAACTTACCCCAGCCTGGTCATTTCAGCTGCTGTTAATTCATCATTTGCACAAACCATAACAGCCCAACAGGCATTTCTTCGGACTTCATCATTCTTAGAATGTAGAAGTTTAACAAGAGGTTCAAATCCACCAGAATTTCGTAACTGAAAGACAATGTTTGTTAAATTTATTTGCTGTCCATCATGCTTGGGGGCTACTCTGGATGTGGCCCCACAGCAATAACAAAACAATAAAATTGGGAAAAATGATAAAAATGTAAATATAACAATAGCAAAAAAAATAAAATAGTGGAGGTGCAATAATATGAAATTAAAGGAAGATGGGCGGAGAAGGAGCACGAAGTGCAGGGGAGACTTGGGATCAGCTAATTCATCCAGCAGCCACCTCCAGTGATGAGCTCCCTTATTGGGTCCCCAGGCCAATAAGCAGAGCCAGTTCTTCAGGCCCTTTAGAAGAAAGAGGCAAACTTCATCCTGGAGGACAGGAAGTTCCAGAGGTTTGGTGCTACAGCAGAGAAAGTTCTTCAATTGAATCCTGTTAGAGTTCCTTGACTTACAAGATAGTCAGCAGGCCTCTGCCGGCCCAGCACAATAGGACAGGCTTGTTATATATAAATAGATTGGCAAGGGCTGTACTCAACTTAAGGAGCAAAATCGCTGCCAAGAATACTTAATCAATTAATTAGGACTGAATAATTAAGGCTATACTTATAGTGAAATAGCACCATTCTAGCCAAGGTAAGGTAAATCCTGCAAAGAGAAATAGACGGACTTGGCTTTTTCCACAAGGACTAAGATAGGTTTGAATTACCTACTAATGAGTTTGAATGTTATAAAAATTATTTGGTCTCAACCACAATTGAGATTGGTGATTTTATTTTATTAAGCAAAACAGTCACCAGGTAAAACTCTGATTGAGTTTATGATTTTGATTTAGCTTTGTTTTGCCCACAAAGGTCATAATTTTATCACCATGGTATCTATGACTGGTCACTGCCCAAGGTAGTCACTAACCTACCAGTAAATCAACAAAATGGCTGTAATGCTGGCAACTGCTGAAGCTACTAATTACTGGACTTTCCTACTTTCTGCTACTGCTCCTCCTTACTGATTCTTATTCACTTTCTATTTCTGAACAAGTAATGAACAAGCAACATCAAAAAAGTGGTGAAGAAACATTTTTTCTTGAGGAAGAAGCATGTGAATGGGTAACATCAGAAAGAAAAGGTAACTGGCTATCCTTTTTTTTTGAGATTTTTTATAATTTTTTATTCTCTTACATAGCATTTTAAGTATACATTCATATAGTTATTCTTCTATACATTTATCATTCTTATACATTATTTCATTTAATAGAATATACAATTTGGGTTGCTTTATTTACCATCCCTTCTTCCTGTTGTAACACCACCTCATTTTCCCTTTCTTTTCTTCCTCCCTCCCTTCTTTACTTTCTTCCTCTCCTTCCCCTTCCTTCTTCCCTTGCCTTTCTCCCGCTCCTCCTCTTCCCCTTCCTACCCTCTCTCCTTCTCCTCCTCTCCCTTCCATCCTGCTATCCTTGCCTCTTTCTTCTTTCTCCCATCTTCCTTTCATGTTCTCCCCCTTTCTCTCTTTCTTTTCTATTATTGTAGGTGTCTCTTTCCGGCCTCAGTTTATATTTCCTTGGGATGGCAGACCCAAATATAATTTGATATCATTTCTTATTCCCTTACCTTCGCTAATCTATCCTAGTTATATCTTCCTCCCCTTTATATCTCACTTTTGGCTGTATACTTATGTATTTAATATTTTCTCTAATCAATCATAGAATCTTCCCCATGTCTTGAAGTACTCCGATTCCTCTTTATCCTTTATTTTCATTGTCAACCTATTCATCTCTGCACAATCTAATATCTTTTTATTATCTCTTCATCTGTTGGTAGCTTATTTGATTTCCAATTTTGGGCAAATACAATTCTTGCTGCTGTAGTTACGTGTATAATCAAATAGGTATCCTCTTTCTTGAATTTCTCTGGGATAATACCTAATAGGAATATCTCTGGTTTAAATTCTATTTCTTCTTGTAACATTTTCTTTAACCATACTCTTATCTTAGTCCAATATTCCTTTGCTTTTGCACATGTCCACCACATGTGATAGTATGAACCTTCCAACAATTCACTGATTTGTCTTTAGACATCTTTGCTAATTTTCCGGGTGTCATATGCCATCTATAGAAAATTTTGTATAAATTATCTTTATAGGCCGTTGACATGGTTAATTTATAGTTTCTTTCCCATAGTTGTTGCTACTTTTCTAGCTCAATCATATGGCCAAAATTCTTTGCCCAAGTTAACGTATCTTTAACCACTTCTTCTAAGCTAGTTCTTAATAGGTAGCTATATAGTTTATATAGAACTGATGGGTGTAGCTGTTAACTTTCAAAAAAGTGGTGAAGAAACTTCTTTTTCCTTGAGGGAGAAGCATATGAATGGATAACATTAGAAAGAAAGAGGTAACTGGCTATCCTGTGGAAGGAAGTTTAGCAAGAATATATTTCAGTAAGATAGTGCCTTTCTTAAAATCTGAAACCTGGTCCACCCACCAATAAATGTTATTGCAGCCTTTTCAAATTATTTAGACACAATTTGTAATAACAAATTTGCAGGCTTATTTACAAGCAGATGGATCTGTGAGTAAATGTATCAACTGGAACACAGCAATTGCACTAGATGTTGACCAATTTAAAACTTAAATTTAATTTTTTTTAATTGTGTTTGGAGAGCTAACAAAATTGCCCTGTTGCCAATCCCTGAGACCAAATATATGCAAATAGCCTTAAACTGACTAGTAGCATTGAATTTCAGAGTACGTAGTTATATTATTTGATAGGGCTGAACAAAGCATCCACAGAGGTTGTTTTGCAGAGGAGGTCATGTGGGGAAAAACATCCCTCCTCAAAATATTAAAGCAGCCATATCTGTAACTGCTTTGCATTGCTGGCAATCCCAGTAGAAGTACTATGTGTGCATCCACATACATGAATAGACAGCTGGACAATAGCTTTGAAGCAGCCCTCAGACTTCTGAGTGAAGCAGCCAACCCCAAAAAAAATTTTTGTACAACAAGCTTTACAAAGTGCATCTTTAAAATGCTTTCCACAGTTCTATGATTTTATCACAATTGTAAATGGAAAGCCTGGTGTCTGGGCATTTTTTTTTACATGGAAAACATGAATTTTACAACAAAATAATTATATGATATGTGTTGATTACACAAATGATTACATCATTTTTTTTCACCATGCAGTATAGCAAGGATAACATTTCTCCTTAGGATTTATATATACTACATAGCTAAACGAAAGCTGACCTTACTTACCAGTAGATACTTTTTTCTAATTCACTATTCTAACCCACTTGTCCTTTGAAATTTTTCAAATCTGGCTGAGAAGCCAGAGGGTAACTAGCATGAATATAAGCATTGCAAATTGTTTATTGAAACTGACAATTTTACACAACCAAGTATTAGACATCCAATATTAGAGAACCAAAACTTTGACCTTTACCTAGAAATACAACAAAATATGCTGATCTAAGAAAGCTGTGGGATATGAAAAATGCCAGGATTTTGTTTTTCCTAATATAGAGGACAGACACGTGACTTACCTCAGTTCTGCCGTCAGTATCACAGCCCATAGCAGCCACAGCAAGAGCTGCTCTGCTCTGCACAATGCTGTTAGTGGAATTCAGTGGTTCTACAATGGCAGTCATAAAACCATGGCTTTGGATAGTGAGACGTAATGGCTCCTGCATGGCTAGGTTTGTGAGAACGGAGGCAGCACTAGCCACGGCGCCATCTCTTTTACAGCTCAGAACACTAATTAGCGGTTCAATAGCTTCAGCTTCAGCAACAGCACTACGAAGTGGGAAAAGGAAATGACAGCAAAGATATATTACTCTTCCCCAGGTGACTTATGGTAATTAAATCATGCATACTGAAAATACAACAATAAAGTGTCAATAACAGCAAAATATTTTCAATGAAAATATAAGAAAAAGTAATGAAACTTCCAAACTCCATTGGTCAAAACACCCAGCCCCAGTAGTATTAAAATCCAATTCAGTTACAATTAAATCCAGACTTGAATGATAATATCTCATTCAGGGAAAGGCTTGAGAATATGAATAGGTCTTGAGGATCTTCTTCAAATCTGACGTGGTGATAGCCCCTTTCCTATAAGTTCAACTATCTGCTAAGCACAATGAAATCTGGCTGGACATGATTATAATATGGCTTATTTTAAGGCAGTAAAATGCACATATCCATGGTTTATTATTTTGATTTATCAATTGCAATTGGTAAACAAAATTACAGAATTCACTGTCTAAATATTGATGCATAGTTTGGTTATGGCTTCTAGGGTTTGGAGCCCTGCTCAATGCTCTGACCAGTTTGTCGAGATATAGAGTCTAAGCAGCAAGAAAGGAAGGCAATACAAATCAATAATTGAACAAATAAGGTTAACATGATGCTTTGTTTGTTTGTTTGTTTATTTATGTATGCCTTCCATCTCATCTAGAGGTGATTAGAAATGACAATAAATATGAAAGATTTAAATTTTACTGTTTAAGGACATTGAATTTAATGCCACTAATTATTAAATAGGTATGCACAGGAGTATAACTTTACAGAACAATCATATTATTATACATGTTTACTTAAAAATAATTGCACCAGGATTCATTGTTTTTCCATAAATAAGTATTTATAACAGTTCAGCCTTAAATTAGAGCATATATTATACCAATTATTTTTATTTAACTAGGAATGCTTAAAAAACAAAAATAGTTTGTGCAGATCATTCATTGGACTCATTTATTTATTCATAGGTGCTAACAGAAGGACATAATCAGATGGCAATCTCAATTATTCATGGTATCTCCCATTTATATTAGCATCCTATATGTCCCATTGTGTTCAAAATACTTCCTAGCTGGATATGTTTAGATGTGCAGTCTTGTTCAGAAGTCTCATTGAGCAAAATGGAGTTTATTCCTCAATTGGCGGATATAAATTTGTAACTTTAATCTCTTGCAGCCAAAATACAAAATGGTTCAAAATAGCAATTGATGTTTACTGTTCATAGTTTTAAACAATTTATTACATTACTTTTATTCGTCATATCCAATTTGGAAAAAGTGTCCCAGTTGTGAAAAATTATGCAGGAATTGGCGAAACAAAAATCACAGCAAAGTATGTTCATCTTCATACATTTATTTTCAGAAAATTTCTTGATGACATCTATGTTTTCAGGGAGGTATGGTATGTTCATACTGAACATAAAAATTGTCACTACTTAATAGCTAGTATTATATTTTTATGTACAATATTATACTGTATGGTTATCTTATTGCAAACTGGTGAAACATTTCCTTTTGCTCTGTAGAAAAAATTGTTTTGTTTGTTTTCAAAAGCACAATGAAATTGTCCATACTAAATAATTAAAAATGCTACTGTATTGTAATAATACTGACAACTGTACATTCATTCATATTTTACTCAAACTTTTTTTGGAAGAGAGAAAGTTGCAGAAAGAAACAGTCCAACTTTCTATTCACTAACAGTTCTTTCCTTTTGTATTCTAATGTTATTATTTGATCCACTATTTCATTGTATAGCGTTATCCACAATACATGCAATAGAGTATTCCATTGCAAAACCTACTTATTTGCATATATTTTATGCCACACATTCTCAGAATTGGTTTCACTGAGTTTGATGGGATTTATATTTTTGAACAATAAACTGAACTGAATGCAGTCAGAGCTACAATCTAGTGAAGCAGTCTAGTCAAAATCTCAAAAAGGAATAACAAATTTAGTAAGAGTGAGTCAATTAAATAAAGCACAGAAGTAAATGCAATTATGAATGTAAGGATTTTTTTAAAAAAAAACATTTAGTAATAAATCCTAATAGAATTTTGTTTCTTAGATTATAGACCAAGAACAAAAATACCTAAATAAAGTCAGTCTTTAGGCTTTAGCAAGGCAACTCCATTGAGTTCATCTATTGAAGCAATCGAAATTTAAAATAAGCAGGAAGTTGCAAATGTCCCTCACTCCAATCCAGTCAAAGATTTTTTTAAAAAAAATGTTATGTCTATGTTAAGTGGACAATATTTTTCAGATTGAATTTTGATGGCAGTAACTAATTTATGTTTGAAATTAACTGATAGCCATAGAGCTTCAAGGAGCCATATGTTGATAAATTAATTTTAAGCAATGTTTTATATATTTTAATACTGTCTCTACAATGACTGTCAATTAATCTGAATGATTATATACATCTATGTGGAAATTTCAGGAAGAAAACACTGTATAAATTCTGCACGAGTACAGACCTTCCTATTAAGTTGCCAATATCTGTGTCCCATGCAACGAAGTTTCCTAATTTAAAGACTTAAGGCCCAATTTAATTACTTAGAAATGTAATTTAGAATTTAAGACATTTTTTCCAGGTAACTTTTTTGTAATCCCACACACGGGACTTACTAGTGTATTCTGGTGAGCTTAGCAGGAGCTTTCTTCTTGTACAAAGAAATGTTTCTGATATTTTTACTAACAGGTATTTAATAAATTCTACAGACTGTCACTAGGGGTCACTGTTATGTCATATTAAGAATCTAAGTATTACTGTATTGAAGGATAATTATGAGAAAGGGTTCCAATGAAACATTTATAAATTAGGTAAATAATAAAGAAAAATGTCAAAGTATTTGCATAAATATTGTTCCATGTAAATGCTTAAGTGTTATTCTTGAAAGCCTGTAGTAATATTTAATATTGGAGTGCTTCAACAATAAAGATATTCATAATGTGTTTATTTATTTGAATCCTGGCTTTATTACTTTTTTCAAATAATTCAAGATTGTAAACATATCCAACACATTTTCTTACCTACATTCTTTATATTACGGAGATTACCAACACATATTTCTGTAGAGAGAAGATCTCAAATTGTTCTTTGGAGATTTTATTTGGAAACTATACTAACAATACTTCTAAAACCTTACAGTTATATTTGTGATCTTTCCAATGAGTGGAAATACCTGCACTTTGAATGCAGTGACACTTGGGGAGCATCCCAACTGTTTTTCTTTTGTTTTGGTTCAAGAAAATTAAATTGAAGCAGAGGTGGAGAAGGAGAAGACGTAGGATGAGGAGGAGAAGAGGGAGGAGGAGGAGGACACTGATTTTATCCAATCTAAATACCACATAAATTTCATTGCTTATGAGGATTAACAATTTATCAGACCATTTTTGATCCTTTGATAATCTGATATCCTAAATCAATTGTCTTTTCAAACTACTACAGATTTCCAAGAAATTATAGCAAATATAAGGTGACCAGACATCCCGATTTTGGCGGGACAATCACAATTTCGCACAATTTGTCCCGCGTCCAGCCACGTTTTTAAAAAGTCCCGATTTTTTTAAAAAAAATATTTTTACCAATGTAAAGAGGCTGCAAGGCCGTGGCAGATAGGGGCCGCCAGCGGGTGTTACTGATTTTCTAGGATACATACAAGTTGCTTACTACGTCCTCCATATTCGGGGAGAGACACTCGCTCCCGCGCAGCACGATCACGCCGCAGGTTTTCAAAGCCACACTCTTGTTTGGCTCGCAAATGTCACGAGAGACGGCTTCCAAAGGAGGACAAAAAGCGCTGTAGCTTTGCCTAAAGAATAGCCGTCTCTGTAGGAACGAGAATGTCACTCATCCCAATCCGTTGAGACAAATATTTAATCTTTCAGTTCAATGCTTTTGGACAGCAGAAAGCCTAGATATTCAAGGGAAGACTTATCCTACTCGGACATCATTAAGCTGTAAGTCCTGAACTAATATATTAAGGAGTAAACCTTACTGAATTGCACATGGTTTTCTTGCCACCTCGCTTAGAACTACCCGCTAGAAATGAAGCAGTCTTGTGGGGGCCCCCAGCAGCCTCTTTGCTCGCCGGGTGCAACAGCCCACCCTTCAACTCGCTGTTTCCTTCCAGGTGGCTGGAGAGCCACTTGTGAAAAAGCGTGCCACCCCAAGCTACCTGCAGCGGCACTTCCCTCCCTCTGTGCCCCGCCTGCCTGCCTGTTGGAACCAAAGCTCCAGGTGTCTTCTTCACCAGGCAAGCCCTCTGCAGGGCAAGGGGGTGTGACCGGGCAAGGTGGAGCCGGGGGGGGGGCAGACAAACTCCATGCCCACATCTTTCTTCCAGCAGCTCTGAGAGTCGCTGGTGGCAAAGAGCTCGGCGGTGTCGCCCAGCTGGAGGGAAGGGCGTGGGGTGCGGGGACCAGCCTTCAGGAAGCTCGCGTCTTCGGATGTCCCTGTAAGCCCCACACATCCCCTCCAGCTCGCTCCGTCCCATCTGCCAGAACTTCTCCCATGTGCAGCAGATCTCTGTAGATCTGCCTCTGAGGAGCCTTCCTTCCTTCCTTCCTTCCTTCCTTCCTTCCTTCCTTCCTTCCTTCCTTTCCTTCCTTCCTTCCTTCCTTCCTTCCTTTCTGCGGGGCCAGGGGGGGATCGGGCAATGGAGGTGGCCAAACTCCATGCCTGCCTCTTTCTTCCAGCAGCACCGAGAATCGCTGGTCGCAAACAGCTCAGCGGCATTGCCCTGCTGGAGGGGAGGGCGTGGGGTGCGGGAGACTAGCCTCCAGGAACCTCACCTCTCCAGACGGTCCTGTAAGCCCCACACACCCCCTCCGGCTCACTCCGTCCCATCTGCCAGAACTTCTCCCATACAGTATGCACAACTCTGCAGAGCATAATTGGATCCTACAGTAAATACATTCAGTAGTATCAATGCATTTTCCAACCTGGCAGAATGGAGACTACAGCGCCCAGAATTCCTAAACAACAGA